AAAAGTACAAATCCTGTACACTGAAAACTATAAAACACTGGAAGAAATTAATATCTAATTAAACAGAAATATGTCTCATGTTCATGGTTTAGAAGACATTTTTATTAAGACTGACATATCTCTCAGACTGATCTACAAACTTGATATAAACCCTGTTGAAATTTTAATTTGCTTCGCCCACCCCCAGAAACTGACTAGCTGATCCTAAAATTAATATGAAACTGCAATGGATATAGCATAACCAAAGTATTCTTGAAAAAAAAAACAAATTTTGACTTATACATCTTGATTTCAAATTTACAATAATTAAAACTTTTAGGATTCCAACAGTTGATAGTGGCATGAAGACAGACACACAGGTGAATGCAATCAATCAGAGTTCAGAAACAAATCCATACATTTATGGTCAATTTTTTTTACAGCAATGGTACCAAGACTATTCACTAGCAGTCTGTTACTTTTTCAACAAATGGGACAACTGGGACAATTGGCTATCTACATGCAAAAAAATGAATGCTTGTACCATGTACATAAATTAAATCAAAGTAGATCAAACACTACAAAAATTTTAGAAAGAAAACACAGGTAAAATTCTGTTTCCATGCCTCATGTTACTTTTCTTAGATGTGACATCAAAAGGATTAGGAATCAAAGAAAAAAATTGAACTTCATCAAAATTAAAAATTTTCTGTGTACAAAGGGACACTATCAAGAATATGAACAGAGGACCCATAGAACTGGAGAACATATTTGTAAACTATGTTTTATAAAGTGATGGTTTTCAAAGAACTTTTACAACTCAACAGCAAAAAGGCAACCCAATTAAAAAAGTACCAAGAGAAGAATTTGGGTAGACAGATCTCAAATATACACAGACACACACACACACACACACACACACACAGAGATGGCCAATAACCACATGAAAATTTATTCAACATGATTAGTCACCAAGGAAATAAAAATCAAAACTATAATGGGATACTTCATAACCAGTGGAACAGACAGAATAAAAAGTCAGATAATGCCATTTGTTGTCAAGTGTATAGAGACACTGGAACTCTCAAATGTTTTGGCATACATGTAAAATGGTGCCCCTGCTATGGGAAAAGAGCTTGGTAGTTTTTCAAAAAGTTAAACATGGAATTTTCATATGACCCAGTAATTCTGCTCCTAAGGATATAACTACAGAAACTGTATAAAAACATGTACGACAATGTTCATAGCAGCATTTTTCTAAATAGTCAATAAGTGGAGGGGCCAGCACTGTGGCGTAGTGGATAAGGCCACTGCCTGCAGTGCTGGAATCCCATATGGGTGCCGGTTCGAGACCTGACTGCTCAGCTTCCAATCAAACTCTTGCTGTGGCCTGGAAAAGCAGTGGAGGATGGCCCAGGTCCTCAGGACCCTGCACTTGCGTGGGAAACCCGGAGGAGGCTCCTGGCTCCTGGGTTCGCGTCGGTGCAGCTCCAGCCATTGCGGCCAGTTGGAAAGTGAACCAATGGATGGAAGACCTCTCTCTCTCTCTGCCTCTCCTTCTCTCTCTGTGTTCTGACTTTCAAATAAATAAATAAATCTTTTTTAAAAAAAGTGGAAATAACTCAAAAGTCCTTCAACTGAGGAATGGATAAGTTAAAAGGTAGCAAGTATATCCATAAAATGCAATATTACTCATCCATAAACAAGGAACAAAGTACTGTTACTTGCTACAACATGGAGAAACCCTGAAAATGTTATATTACGGCCGGCACCGTGGCTCAATAGGCTAATCCTCCGCCTTGTGGCGCCGGTACACCGGGTTCTAGTCCTGGTCAGGGCACCGGATTCTGTCCCGGTTGCCCCTCTTCCAGGCCAGCTCTCTGCTGTGGCCAGGGAGTGCAGTGGAGGATGGCCCAAGTACTTGGGCCCTGCACCCCATGGGAGACCAGGAGAAGCACCTGGCTCCTGCCATCGGATCAGCGTGGTGCACCGGCTGCAGCGCGCCGGCTGCGGCGGCCATTGGAGGGCGAACAAACGGCAAAGGAAGACCTTTCTCTCTGTCTCTCTCTCTCACTGTCCACTCTGCCTGTCAAAAAAAAAAAAAAAAAATGTTATATTAAATTAAAGAGGGCAGGAACAAAAAGACACAAATTGCATAATTCCATTTACAGGAAACATCCAGAACCGATGTACTTATTTGACAGAAAGGGTATTAGTAATTGCCAGGGGTGGGGGAAGAGGAGTAGGAGGAAACCAGGACCAACTGCTACCAGGTATGGGGTTTCCTTTTATGGTAATAGAAATGTTCTGAAATTAGACTAGACCATGAGTATTTTACTAATAGTAATGAAGTAATCTAGACTAGGCATCTAAGTACAAATTAGCAAATCCAGGAGCCAACATTGTGGCATAGCAGGTAAAGCCATTGCCTTCAGTGCCAGCATCCCATATGGGTACCAGTTTAGGTCCTGGCTGCTCTCCTTCAGATCCAGCTCCCTGCTATGGCCTGAGAAAGCAGAAGATGGTCCAAGTGCTTGGGTCCCCGCACCCACGTGGCAGACTGGGAAGAAGCTCCTGGCTTTGGCCTGATCTAGCTCTAGCCATTGTGGCCACTGAAGGAGTGAACCAGTAGATGGAAGACCTCTCCTGCCCCACCCCATTACACACTGTAACTCTGCCTTTCAAATAAACAAATCTTTAAAATAATGTAAAAAAAAAAAAACAAATTAGCAAATCTTCCTGGAAACCCATACCACCACTCCTTCTAGAGCATGTGTACTGAGTTGGACTTTCTAAGAAGAATGCTCCTTCCCATCCCATCTGTAGCATCTGCTTCTTCTATTCCCTCTCTGAGGTGGCCTGAAAGAGACTGGGTTACGTTAGGTTTGTGGCCAAGATGCCAAATAACCATATAAATTCATCTGGACTGGCATGGGCAACAGTTTGTAATAAATTATCCTCACTGCTGAAAATTCATGTGGAAATAGTACTTTCAGGGCAATAACTCAAAAAATCCAAATATTATAGGTGATGTCAAATGGGAACCTTCTTCATTTCCTTAGAACATCCAGCTCTGGGAAGTCCAGCATATAGTGGTCCTTGCAGTGTCTAATATCTACATTATAGGAAAGAAACAGGGATGATCCATCTCTAGCTTCTCCCATTAAGAGAGTCATGAGAAAATTATTTTTGTAGCCTCACCAAAACATCATGGAACATTAACCTCCATGAAGATCTGTAGCTGCCTTGGGAACACTGGAAGTCAGGAGTTCCGAATACCTTTGGGAGATGACATAGCAGGGGCTTAGCTTAGGATAAACAGACTCCACTTGAACCAACAGGCATTAAGAAGGTCATCTCCCTTCCTTGGACCCCAGCTTCCTTCCCTTAGCATCATATTTGTAAGGTAAAATGATCAAAGTTTTGACTAGTTTATTGCTTTACAACAATTAAGTACTCCTAGAATTATAGGTATATGTTTTGAATGCTAATTTTCTTTCGGATGGGGTAAGGCAACCTCAGTGGGATCACAGGCCATATGGGAAAATAACTGGGAGCCAGGCTGTTACTAGGTTGGATGTGTTAGATAGTAGGGTGGATGGAAGTGAATATGAGAGAAATGTAGAGGAGAAAAGCTCAAATAATACTGGAATAGGACAAAAGCTGTCAGATCTAAATTCAGATCTATAAACAGATTAAGAGGCAAGCATATAACAGCTGACAATATCAGAAACAGCTAAGAAAATGGAATAAAAATCCTGGCTAGCATGCTGGGAACCTGCTCTGAGCTGGTTGGTGGTAGCTATGTGGTACTAAGCTAAGTCAACTGGTTTAAAGGCACAGAACTGGGCCAGACATAACACTGTGATTTTCTAATACAGGATATTCCATTTGAGAAAAAAAAAAAATAGAAAGCCTGCCATGATTACAACTGTAACTCCATGAAGATACTAGATTCTGAAATGGTCATTCTCTTCCCCTCAAATAATGTTACTATCTCCCAGAGAACAGCTTTGGGGCAGCAAAGAACAGTATTTCATTCTAAGCTGGACTACTCACCTACCAAAACACTATTTTGACCAAAGAAACAGATGCAGAATTATAGTCACAGCTGCATTCTTCACAGAACAAGTTGGATAATGGTACTCCAAATTGCTAATTACCCTGCTAATGATTTTTTTTTACTGTCATTGCAGTATTTTGCCACCTTTGTTTAAAATTTTAAAAACTGCATCTAGGAAGTTTTTTAAATTGTAAATTTCTGCTATGTTAAATACCAGTGAGCTTTTCAAAGATAAATTCCATATAAAACCCATCTCTTGAAATGGCATTTTCACATGGGGTTTTGTAAAAGCCCATTTATTGACTAGCTATTTGTTTTAATTTACTTTCTCACCAATATACTTGCAGTTAAGCTTCCTGAGGTCATAAGTATCTTAGTATTAGTGTTTGTATCCAGATCCTTACTTAATGTGAAAATATAATAAACTAACATATGCCAAGATATGCTGGCGTTGGGAATGTGCTATAACTAGATTTACAAAAAGTAATAGCAACAACACAATTTTACTGTACTGTGATAACCACGGTAAAATTTTTTATGATGTTAGTATTTTGTTGTCTAATCCATGCCAGCATAGCTGAGGTAGGTGATTACATTTTAATATAAAAATGCTTATAATGTTTTTATTTCATGTTAACAGATTATATTAAGCAGATTAAAGTATCACCATAGTTCCATGTGTGTTTCTTATATATTTAAGGTGCAGATTTTTTTTCTACTAATTTCTACTAAATTATTTCATTAAGATTTCTAAATAATCTGCTTAAGCAAACATCTCAAGCTAGCTACAAATGTCCACACAATAGATTACAAAAACTGTTTTATGAAGCAAAACAAACAAAAGTTTTATGTGCAGAAAATGGTGTAACATGTCATATTGTTTTCTGATAATTTTTATATTAGAAAATATTAAAAACAATTTTATCATGTAATTACAAACTCCTAGATGAATACTTACATTTGCTTCCAGCTTCAGTGATCTTCTAACACTGTAAACAAAACATTAAAAAAGAATCTTAAATTTGACATTCTTTAAGTCAAATACTTAATATTTAATACTTAATATTTAAGGGTAAGGTATACAAATAAAAATTTTAAGCAACTTTTGCCAACTAATTTTTACCCTATTTATTAAACCAGAATATCATAAGAATGCAATTATTTACGATGGTAGCCTTGTTTTTTGTAGTAAAACACTTCATATCAAAATGGAATAATTATAAGTGGATCTTTTTTTGGTATATGTTGTTCTACATATGTGGATGGACAACAATACATCTTAAACACTAAAGTCATATTATTTGAAGTCTAAGTAAAAAACTAGTATATTTGTCTGCTTTATAATAACACTAATAAAAACTATACTTAAGAGTAAAATAATTTACATACCTTCAATGGAGATGTTGAAAGTCGATTATTTGCAGAAATAATGGACTAGGTGTTTAAGGTATGAGCAACATGAAAAAAGTTTCGTACATTATTGTAGCTTTAAACATGATTCAGTGCAACCAGCCTATGACTTAACTGAGGAACAGATGCTCCATGTCTTTATAAGTCCCCAATCCATAAGAAACTATTTTTTGTTTCCTTCACTAAACTGAATCAGGAACATGCCAGGCTTTCTCTGTGTAAAATCTGTTCTGCTAAACTGGATGCCCAGCTGTTGGTGACAATGCTTAGAAAGGAAAGCTGAATATTTATAATACTTTATTTCGTACAGCTGTCTTCTAAAGAGCAGTCATCAACATTTTATTGAATGCAGACTAAATGTTCAAAGGAGAAAAAGGTCAATATAAATTAAAACTAGTTTTACCAGTGACAAAGTTAGCATTAAAAGTACTTTCTTATCCCTGAAAAACAGAAATTATTTAAAATATTAGAGGATGAGAGCATAGTGCAAAAGAGGATACTAAAAAGGTTATATTACAGAAACCACCACCAAAATTTGCATAATCTTAGAAAACAATTTTTTATAAATAACTACTGATTTATAACATGCTGGATTAAAAAAAAGAAGAGATGGTCAATTTATGAAAATCACTAGCAATAAACATTAAATAAAGAACTTATCGCTCTAAAAAGTATTTACTTAATTTTAATATAGCTATATAAGTCTTACATTTTTAAATTAGTCTTTAGAGAATTTTGTCTTTCAGAACTTTACATAAAATCAACATGTGAATTCACAATGAAGCATGAAGTGAACAGAGGTACGAATAAAAATTGTAGATATTATTTTAAATTTCCACATGAGAGAACATGTGGTATTTATTTTTCTTTCTACCTTATTCATTTAACATGATGAACTCCAGTTCTATCCATTTTGCTGCAAATATCAAGATTTCATTTTCTTTGGCCTAATAATACTCCACTGTGTGTACATACCACATTTGCTTTACTCATTCATTCACTGATGTGTACCTAGCTTGGCTCTGTATCTTGGCTATAGTGAATACTGCTGGAATGAATATAGGAATTTAGGTATTTCTTCCATATGCTGATTTCATTTTCTTTAGATACATACCCAAGTGGATAGCTGGGCCATACAGATCTATTTTTAGTTTTTTTTTGAGGAATCTCTATACTGTTCTTTATAATGACTATACTAATTTGTATTCCCACCAACAGGGTGTAAGAGTTCCCTTTTCTCTACATCCTCACCAGCATCTGCTATGTTGTCTTTTTGATAACAGCCACTCTAACTGAAGTAAGATGATACATCACTGTGGTTTTGACCTACACTTCCTCCACAGCTGGCAATACTGTGCATTTTTTCACGTATTTGTTAACCAATTGTATCTTTTCTTCTGGGCAATGTCTGTCTGGATCTTCTGCCCATTTCCTAACTAGATTGGTTGCTATCTGCTGTTGAGTCTTCTCATTTCCTACGTATTCTGAGTATAAATCTTTCATCAAATGAGAAGTTTGCAAATATTTTCTCTCATTCTATCGGAAGTTATATATACATATATATATTTCAATTGAAATTTACAATACTGTTTACCAGAGGCTATGGAGGGTAGGGCAGAGGGCAACAGCAGGGAAGCTGGATAATGGATACTAAAACACAGTAAGGTAAACCTAACAGATCTTGGTGTTCCACAGTACAATGGGGTGACTACAGCTCACAATGATGAAAAGAGGAGCTGGCAGGATGCAAATACAAAGAAAAGATAAGCAAATGGGAAGGTTGGTTGCCTAGTATGTTTGGTTTAAGCTATGTATATGTATTGTAAAGCTGCATTGCACCCCTTAAAATGTACAAGTATTACATGTTAACCCAAAATTTAGAATTAAAAAATGTTTTTAAAAGAAATAAAACGATAATTCGATGTAATGAAAGGAACACAATTATTGAGTCCTGAGATGAGGTTAATGCCTACTTGTTTTGTTCTACATTAGGTTATATATTTTTCCATCACTTTCTATGTCTTTCTAAGATGGCGAAACTAAGCCTTGAACTGTGGGGGTCAGTGTTGTGGCATAGCGGGTAGAGCTGCCACCCGCCACACCACAATCCCATATCCCATATGGACACTGGTTTGAGTCCCGGATGCTCCACTTCCAATCCAACTCCCAGCTAATACACCTGGGAGAGCAGCAGAAGATGGTACAAGTGCTTCAATCCTTGTACCCACTTGGGAGACCCAGAAGAAGCTCCTGGCTCCTGGCTTCCTATTGGACCAGCTCTGACCATTGTGGTCATTTGGGGAGTGAACCAGCAGACAGAGGATCGATCTCTCTCTCTCTCTCTCTCTCTCTCTCTCTTATTCTTGTTCTCTAAACTCCGCTTTTCAAATAAATTTTAAAAAAAAGACTAAAACTTCATTAGAAACTCCTATGTTGATGCTAAAAACAAAAAGACAGATAACTTTGAAAATTATTTATATTTAGCTTTAGAATATATTGCCCTATTTGGAAACATGATATGTCTGACATTTATAATACTTAAAAGTTAGAAATAAAAAAATAAAATTACATAGCAGAACATTTTTTATCCTGTTTTTAAATGCTGTAAAGATGCAATACTATCTTTTATTTTTTTTTAAAGACTTATTTATTTATTTGAAAGTCAGAGTTTCACAGAGAGAGGAGAGGCAGAGAGAGAGAGAGAGAGAGAGAGAGGTCTTCTATCCGATGGTTCACTCCTCAGATGGCTGCAACGGCCAGAGCTGCGCTGATCTGAAGACAGGAGCAAGGAGCTTCTTCCTGGTCTCCCACGTGGGTGCAGGGGCCAAGGACTTGGGCCACCCTCCACTGCTTTCCCAGGCCATAGCAGAGAGCTGGATCAGAAGAGGAGCAGCCGGGTCTTGAACTGGTGTCCAGATGGGATGCCGGCGCTTCAGGCCAGGGTGTTAACCCACTGAGCCACAGCGCTGGCCCCAGAAATACTATCTTTTAGAAGAACACAAAATTCATCCTGATATTAACTGTTCAAAATATTATTGCTTTGAGGTTGGGGCTGTGGCATAGCAGGTAAAGCTGCCACCTACTGTGTCTGCATCCCATATAAATAATAAATAAGTAAATAAATCTTTAAAAAATATTATTGCTTTATTATTGGTGGTTAATTCTTACAGAAAGTAACTAAATGCTTGGATTTAAAAGGTTTCCAGATTAGGTCCTATGTTGATCTAAGAAGCCCAAGGAAATATAAAAGTAAACAGAAAAGTAAATTTTGGTAAGAAACTAAAAACATGATTTGTTAAGGGTAACACTGATGTAGTATTCAGATAATTCAGACAATTTATAACCAACAGCTGGAAGTATTTGTAAGAATCCTAAAAAGATTTAATAGAACTAGAAGAAATCACTTAGTTCAGCTAGTAGGGAAAAGAGTATGTACAATTTGCCTATAGTCATACATCTTGAGGGAGAAAAACTAAGAGCTCAGGTCAATGTGCATAAATCTCTGTTAAGGGGCCAGTGTTGTGGGGCAGTGGATTAAGCTGCTACCTGCAACACCAGCATCTAGTAAGGGTACTAGTTCAAGTCTGGTTGCTCTACTTTTGATCCAGTTTTCTGCTAATATGCCTGGGAAAGCAGTGGAAGATGGTTCAATTATTTGGGTTCCTGCATCCAGGTGGGAGACCTGGATGTAGTTTTTGACCCCTGGTTTCACTGGCTCAGCTTCAGCCATTGTGGTCATTTGGGGAGTGAACCAGCAGATGGAAGATTCTCTCTGTCTCTGTCTTTCTCTGTAACTCTGCATTTCAGATAAATAAATCTTTAAAATGAAAACCTTTGTTAAACTGAGGGGAAGGGAATTAAAGAAGTGTAAACATATTAGAAGAATCTGGGCCGGCACCGTGGTTCACTAGGCTAATCCTCTGCCTTGCGGCGCCAGCACACCGGGTTCTAGTCCCGGTCAGGGCGCCGGATTCTGTCCCGGTTGTCCCTCTTCCAGGCCAGCTCTCTGCTGTGGCCCGGGAGTGCAGTGGAGGATGGCCCAAGTACTTGGGCCCTGCACCCCATGGGAGACCAGGAGAAGCACCTGGCTCCTAGCTTCGGATCAGCACGGTGCGCTGGTCACAGCGCGCCGGCCGTGGCGGCCATTGGAGGGTGAACCAACGGCCAAAAGGAAGACCTTTCTCTCTGTCTCTCTCTCTACTGTCCACTCTGCCTGTCAAAAAATTAAAAAAAAAATATTAGAAGAATCTATGGCTTTTTTAAAATAGTTACAGAGAGAGAAAGGGAAAGAGGGAGAGAGATCTTTCACCTTCTGGTTCACTCCCAAATGGCCACAACAGCTGGGGCTGGGCCAGGAACTTCACCCAGGTTTCCCTTGTGAGTGCAGGGGCCCAAGCATTTGGACCCTCTTCTGCTGCTTTCCCAGGCACATTAGCAGGGAGGTGGATCAGAAGTGGAAAAGTCAGGATATAAACCAGTGCCCATATGAGATACTGGCATTGCAGGCAGCAGCTTACCTGTTACTCCACAACGCTGGCCCTGACCATTTATTCTTATCATTCCGTTAGAACTGGGTCCA